ACTATTCTCCTTAGCTCATTGAAGTCCGCCCTCCTGAAATCTAGGGCTGCTGCCTTGCTGTAGGCTTTTGCCACCTTGCGCTGGATGGTGAATTCCAGCAGGCAATGATCACTGTCGCCCAGGTGGTTGAGCACCTGCAGACTTCTCACCAGGTCGTTGCTTGTGGCTAGCACCAGGTCCACCAAGGCGTCTCCCCTGGTGGGGCTGTGCACCTCCTGGGTTAGATGGAGGTCCTGCATTCTGGCAGGGTTGTTGAGTCGGTCACTGAAAATTAAGAATGAATTGTACAAATCTGTCAAGAACAGTTAAGTTAACCCCCCATCCCAGGGCAGAGTTGGAAGTGTACCAGATGACCCCTTGAGGTCCCCTTCGCCCTATTTTCTGTGAGTTTAAGTGCTACAAGTAGTACTGAATGGAAGCTGTGAAATAGCTGCACTTTCAGGACTGTTAGATTTTTTTATTTTTAGAAGGGGGGGGAGGGAAGAGAGAACAACATTTAACATCTACCAAGTTAATGATAAAAAGGCAACTGAAGAATTTATGTAATAAAGTGGGATGTTTCCAGAAAGTCTGACTGTTGGCTGCAGTGTGGTAGACTATGCTGAGGTCCATTATTTGAGAGAAGGAAATCTACACATTCAGGTAGGATTGTAACTAAGGGTCTACTCAATTTGCGATTCTGCAAAAATCCAAGATCGTCTGTGAAGTCAACTTAATCAAAATAAAATGCTCACTCCCCAGATGGAGCCAGCAGTCCTAGCTGCTGCAGCCCAGCCTCACAGCCCATCATCAGAGGCAAAGGGGGGAAAATAAGGTGGTATTATGATTTACTCTTTGAAAAAGAGACCAGTTAGTGGGCTTCACAGACCTCATTTTAGTAATAGCTTTTGTCTTCTTTTACTTCTCAGCTACAATTTGTAAAAAAGTTACAACTTGCATATAGGTTAGTTTTTTGTTCTTGAGAAAAATTCAAGCTTTAAAAAAAAAAAATCCAAACTGTGCACAGAATTAAAGACCTGCATTTAAGCCTGGATAATGGTAGACTTGGAAACCCTAGCTAATCATAAACATAATGCAACCATTATTGAATGTTCTTCCTTTCATACAAATTGAATTTTATTCCTCAGCTATGGAATACCAAAGTATCTTATTACTTACAGGCAAACTGATGTGAAGCCCACCCAGAGCTACAATCTCAGCATGAAGCACATTTAATAGCTAGCAATTATATTTGTGCCAGGAAAGCAAAGTTTCCTGCAAACAGAAAGAAGCACCTATTCATTTTACTAGAGATGCGAGAAACCCACACTTTCATTTCTGTGAAATTTATATTACTATCTGCTGAATAAGAACATTCCTGGAAGGATACCTGGGCAGCAAAAGGCATCTTTGGCACTGAAAGAGGGCTAGGTTACCAAGGGCATGTTTGAAACCAGGCAATAGTAATAGGAATATACTAAACTATCCTTTGCTTTGGAGCTACATAGACACTCCAGAATATACACTTCACATCACAGCCAGACTTTGCAACTTCGCCCTTCCTTGGCTGTCAAATATACATACAGGAGAAAATATTGCATTTATGTGAAAGATTCATCATGCAACTAATACCTTGAAGAAGTAATGTGTCCTTCCTCCCCCCCCACTATCCACATAGCTGCCAAAAGTTAGGCTAGTGGCAAAGATGCATTGTGCTCCCATGTGGCAATTTACTCTTAACATTTAACAGGTTGTATAACAATTGTACTGTTGTGCAACCATGTTGTGGCTTTGCAGTATCTGTGTGAAATAAGACATCTCACCTCTCAATGAAAATATACTGATATTGAAATAGGAAGGTTTACACGGTACTCTATGAAACAGAAGCATCATACAGATATTAATGATACTTTAAACAGATATGGAATTCAAACACTGGCATAAATGTAAACTGCAACACAAGTGAAACTTTCCCGTGCCCTCAGTTGTTAGTTCATCTGAGGAGCATTTTAATATTTTCAAGTATCCTTTTATTAAGATCACTTTAGCCACACACAATCTAAAAGGACCTCCTTGGATCATCAGATCCAGTCCCCTGTACTGTTGTGCAAGTATTGTATGGTGTGCATGTGCACATGACCAGTTTTGATCATTTTGAAGCTAGTTTATGCGCAGTAAATTTGTTTTGTTACAGGTTTAAACCAGTTTCCCAATCACTTAAACTGGTTTATGTGCAACTTCTGTCCCTAGCCTTTAGGGGTAATTTCTGAAGTAAATATTTATCAGTATCTAAGCTTCAGCATGGAAATCCACCTTGGGAACAGAGTCTGATTTTCTAATTATTTACTACCATTTGAATATTTACAATTGCAAACAATCTTTGCAGCACAGAGAGAAGCGAGTGCCATATTTTGTTACATACACAGTTCAGAAAACTTAAGGAGACAAACACTCCATTCGGTAAGAACTAATTCCAATTAAAAAACAAAAGTAACCCTTAAAAGGGAAGGAAGGAGATGCACATTTAAGGTTAGAACACCCAGCAGAGAGAACAACCTTTTTTTTTTTTAAATACTGGGGCAGAACTCAAATAAGAAATTCAGCATCTAGCAAACGCAACAGGTTGCTTCACATAACAGGGGTTAAAGAATCCCTCTCCTCTGTATTTTCCAGTATGCCAATAGATCACATGACTATTCTTAGCTATAACATACATTGAGTCAAATGCATCTCATATGCCAAAGCGCCCCCCCCCAAATATATTACAGGTCTTGAGCAATTAACTGGTGAATTGTCCAATTACCTTGAGACCAACAGCAACACACACATAGGATCCATCATGTCATAAAAAGCTCCAACCAGCTATAAAGTTGGACCTCAAAAATGTATACTAAACCTTATAGCTGGTTGCTATTGAGCTTTAAAATTTGCACATGTAGCAGGGTTTCACATGCAACTGGGAGCCCGTCAGCCAATGGGGCTCCCAGCCACAGGGGTGCACCATGTCCAGCTGGAGCAGGGTGTTCCGCAGCCGAGGGAAATTTCAGCCCCAGCAGCTGCCAACTCTGAGTCCTGGAAGCACACAGACCTAGAGTCCTATAGCTGCAGCACTGGGTCCTAGCAGCAAGGAGATACACCTGCCCCAGGGGTGCATGAAATCCCCAAGGCTTGGGGATAGTGGCTGCCATGATTCCCCAGCCCCAGGGATGTGTGAAGGGGGTCCCCAGGGCTCATAGCTCCTCAACAGAAGGAGCTCCCAATATGAGGAACAATGGGATACAATGCGCAATCCCACAATCATGCTTCCTGCCATGCATTTGTGGCATGGCATGAGCCTCAATTGTGTGGATTGTGTATCAGATCTCACTGCACCTTGACCTGCAGGTATAGAAGGGCCCGAAGTTTAAGTGACTGCTTATAGATCAAGTCTGTAACTCCTTTCAGAGACATAATCTTCAAAAGACCAAAGAACACAGGATTAACAGTTAGATGCAGCATATACTAGTAGGATTAGCAGCACATCTGGAACATCTCTCTCTTTTTATCATGTAGCCACATGAACAGGTTGTATTGTTGGTTTGTTTTTTTATAGACAGATTTGGCATGACAAACAGGAAACCAATTCGGTTCTCTCACCCACATTGTACTTGAACCTAACTAGAAGTTTTAAATGAAGTGTTATTATCATCATCAGCTTACTGTTAGGTACCTTGTCTCAATGAGGTAAGCAGTGTAGGTTTCTTGCATGTTCACGGCATTTCTTCCAGTCCGTTTTTCTGCTTCCGAGACACTGATTTCTATTTTCTTCAATAAACAGTCTTCCATCTTAAAAAAGAAAGGCTGCATATCACATCCATTACATAGAAATTGATTTGTTAATCATGCCTTCCTCTTTTCCCCACCCCTGTTACTTAGTTTGCAGAATTGAGGCCTGTCTTACTCAGGAGATCAACAGTACTACCCAGCATGCAAAATTAAGTATATATGCAGCATTTCTTGAGTCTAAGTCTTCATGCCCTGCATGTCTTGCCATACTTCCATGTACAAAATTCCCTTGCCTGCTCTTGTGTCAGGAGCCAGATAGCTGTTGTGACATGTGGGACTCCCCTCCAGCCAGCTGCAGTGCTGGCCACCCACTTGTCTTTGGGCAAGCCACCTGTCTGTCACACCTTGGTGGTAACTAATGAAGTTGTTAGTTAGGCAGACAGCTGCCCTCCAACTGCCCCCATAACAAGGACCTAGTGTACATCCTCCAACCTCCCTTTATATGCATCCCATGCCTCGCAGATGGTTCTTACAGCTGTGCAATGTCCCGGCCTGAGGCTGGGCCCAATTTGGCAGTGTTCAGCCTCTTACATTCCTGCCCTGTTACAAGCCACATACACACACCACCCCTCTCTTGCTCCACCAGCTCTCACCCAGTCTCTATCACACCACCCTCTTCACAGCCACACTCAGAGATCCTCAGACACCCCTCAGTCAGCCCTGGTGCAATCTTTCAGGCCTCTCCCACGGCCCTCACCTGAACAGGACTGAGCAATTCACAAAACACTAAGCCAACCCCACCCCCTTCTCATGCCAGATATCACACCCCAGCTGTTCCCATTAAGGTCGGATGACACCCCATTTAAAAGCGGCTCTCACTCTACCACCTCTATGGCCTTAGGTGCCCTAAGGCTTACCTGGACCAAGCTGACCCTGCTCCCCAGGGGCACAACTTACTCATCCCTCTCACCAGGGCCACAACTTACTCAGCCTAGCACCCAGTTTCCTCTCTGGAGGCACACACTGGGCCCTCCCACTCTCACCCTTCTTCTTGCCCCTTCCTGGAACTCGCAGGATTTTCACCCAACAGGCTCAGGTACCCTTTGTACAGGCATGCCTGGCCCCACTACCCTTTCTCCAGGCTCTTAGACACCTAACAGGCTCAGGTACCCCACATGGGCATGCCTGGCCCTACTTCCCTCTGCTGTTACAGTAACCCACTGGATGGCAGGGGCAGGGGTTTAGGCACCCTAACCTACCTTACACTGGGGAGGTTCTCAGTCCTGGCATTTAAATGGCCCTACCCTGCCAAAGGCAGGACCACCAGGTCTCCCTACCCCAGCAGGGATCACATCCAGGACTGATGAGGTCTCCTCCATAACCTCCACCCTTACCTCTAAGGTGCCCCTGGTTAGCAAGAGAGCCGGCTGATACTACTTCCTTGACTACTAGAAGCAGACTGCCCACTCTCCTAGCTGTGCCTGGCTGGCCTTTGTTTGAAAATGGCCACCCTCATCAGGCACCTGCCGGCTGCCTGCTTCAGCCCTTAAAGTGGTAAGCACTGGAGATGCTCTGCTACCCACCTTCCCCCTTAAAATGATTCCTGAGGGAGAAGCTTCTTCCTGCTGCTCACAGGCAGGCTGACTGGGAGCCTGCAACAGCCACTAAGTGGCAAGCACTCCCCTGGTGCTCTACCACAGCTGTCTTCAACTTCACATCTACAGTGTTATTATGCCTATGGGGGTCTCATCAGGAAAAGGTGAACAAAAAGTGGAGAATCTGGACAAACACATATTAAACCACAGAAGGGATCCAGCATATCCTCCTAATTAATCACAATACAAGTTTACCATAGTGGCCAAACTTCATTGCAAATTTGCACGCTTGAAGTGCTAGATGGCATCTGCTTCTGTCTAGGCAACGATTAAAAATGCAACACAAAATTCAGATTTATATATATATATTTTTTAAAAGTCAAGGTTTCCTACTTGCCACTACAGAAAGCAGGGAGCCAACTGGAGAGAGAAGTAACCTGACCACAGCAACCTAGAATAATTATCTTAGTGGCTGCATTTTTTAATTAACTGCTAATAATGAGAACCAGTAGCTGCTGACCCTTATGTCCCAAGCACCCCCTACGTTGTCTTTGGAGCTAAATATTGCTTTTTAAATGCACATATTGCATCACGGACCGTTTCCTGCTGCCAGCCCCACGTTTTTTGGGGGGGGGGTTGGTTCAAATATTTCTTCCCCACGTAGCGGTGGTCAGGAAAAGGGTCCGAGGCTCCTGAGCATTTGGAGGATAAGATAATTAACTTCCACCCTAACGAGGCAGGGGCCAATTACCAGGGGACCCCGACACACCTGCTGTGGGGGTCATGGGGACACATGGGACTACTCTGGACAACCGCAGGGAAGGAAATAATCTGATATATCGGGACACTTCGCAGGAAGGTTTGTTTTCTTAACTAAGTCACATAACCCAGGCCAGCCCCGCACAGTCCCCTCGTCCCCGCGCGCTGGGGGAGTCGAGGCGGCGCGCCGTGGAGGGAGCCTGGATGGCGGCGGCCGGCGCTACGCGAGCACGGCGATCCGCCGGGCCTGCTAGGCCGCAGCGCG